TTTGCCACTTGAAGCCACCGCCTGGGCCACCCTGCCTGCTGCCTCTGCTGCCAGTGGAGAAGTGATGCCAGCATTGGCATCAGTTTCAGGTGAGACCTCACCGGTTTCAGGTGAGATATTACACACTCTGTGAGGCTGATGATGCTTTTCTGCTGGTGGTGGAGGTGGCAGGGCAGGTGGAGACCCTCTGGGGCCCCACCTCAGGGACATCCGCTGCCTGAGGCCATGGCTTCACCCCACTTAATGGCCGTGCGGGCTTAGTTCACAGCAAGAGCAGGGAGGACTAAAGCGCCCGTGATTTTAGCCTAGCATGCTCTGCTTTCACCTCTAGACCATATGTTTAACTTTGGTTTAAAGTGAAATGCAAACAAGGCCAATGTGTTGCTTTGATTAGATTAGGAACTGGAAGAAGACCAAGCGCCAGCAATCATAATGGAGGGTTTTGGCGGGAAACTTCATCTGGCCTTAGCTTGCTAGATCTCTCCACTCATCACTTCCACACAAAATGGAAGCTGTTGTGACAAAGTAATATTGAGGAGAATGCACAGTGGAGGCAGCTAGTGTTCTCTGGTAGTACAGACATTCAAAAAGATTCCTGTGTGTGCTGAATGCCCTATGCAAATTGAGTATATAATTTAGGAGTTATGGGGAGGTAGAAGAAGCCATGGAAGTCCCTACATTCCATTTATCCATGCCCGGTGGATGCTCTGTTCACCATCTTGTTTTACTTCATTATAGCCTGTATGCTTTTCAAATTCACCTCTGTAAACCTATGGGCTAGAGGCTTAGTTTAAAAAGAAAAGGAAGCAAGCTGAGATTTTCAGAGTGTTGTACCCAAGTGTTGGGTTGTAGCCAACTAATTTCTACTCATACTAAACCCGCTGAAATTGATATACCTAAGTTAGGCAGGTCCATTCATTTCACTGGGTTGTATCCAATGCTAGAGTAGACCCATTGACATTAAGGGGCATGACTAACTTAGGTTCATTAATTTCAGTGGTCTATGAGTAGAACTTAGCTGGATATCATCCAAAGTGTCTACTCTGAGTAGGACTAACACTGGATACAACAAATGTGACAACAAATGTGTGGAATACTCTCTGCTTTACATTTGAGGCAGGACCCTTTACTCAAGTGTAGGGGTTTCAGGTGTAGGTAAAAGTCATTTGTGGCTTTTACCCGCCTAAACAGCACCCTGCCCACGTGAGTAGTTCCCTCAAGCCACGATCTGACTCTCTGCAGAATCAATCATTTGCTTTGGCGGTGTTGGTGAGGAAATGAATAAATCTGAAAGTGAAAAAGAAGAAGAAGGAGAAGAAACAACATCTAGTAAACTGTTTGAGGGGAAAGAAATTCCTTTCTGAAGGCAAGAATGTCAAAAGGTTTGAATCATGGATCTGCTGTAATTAAAAAACACATAACTAGTCGTTTTCAAATGTGGTTGTTCTACTTAATTGATTTTGCCGCCGGAGGAATAAAATAAATAAATAAAAGGCGCCTTGCCTGTGAATTACTGGAGGCGGTTGAGACTCCGTTTGAATCTAATTGCTGCAAATGTGCCAGTTTGTTGCTGGTAATAGTTATTGTAAAAGAAGCAGGGGTGGGGGTGGGGGCGATGGGGAAAGAGAGGCAGCGGTGTGTGAGGGGAGGGAAAGTCGCTGTCAGCAGCTGCATGTAGGCATGTAGGCCTCCTTCAGAGATGGTGTTTCTCTCTCCCCTCCCCCCGCAGCTTCATCAACACAAAAGATTTCTGTTGAATGCTTTGCATGTAGGCTCTGCTTAAAAGTGTTTTATTCATATTTAATTGCCGGCTTGCCGCAGCTCCCGTCCTTAATTACTGTGTAAAAAAGTGGGATATAAAAATGCACCAGCATTCCATTTGTTTTCTTTTTTTTCCATTTCTGCATAAATTATGTGTTCCTTGACTGCTGGCCCTGGTGAGATTTGTGTCTTGTGTAAGCAGGGAGCAGGCGGTCTTCTTCTAAGCCAACTCTATTGGCCATTTTTGCTTTAACATTGGGTTGGGCTTGTGGAGGGGAGGCAAGATGACCCTGGAAGGTTTCCCCAGCTATACAATAATATCTCTGAAGGGCAGCTTCTGCACTGGAACCCCACCGGTGTCTGATAAGCCTCCTTTCACACCTGCGAACTTTATCTGACTGATCCAGTTTTGCTTCCTTCCTATGCAGCCTTGTATTTAACAGTTCACCTGGTAGCCACAGATGGCCAGGGATTCCATGCAGGCCAGAGGGGTAGCGGGGGAGAGACAGATTCCCTTCTCTGTCAGCTTACACGCAGTGTTTCTGAAAGCTGGGCCCCCAGTTGCTTTTGGACTACAATTCCCATCATCCCTAGCTAGTAGGACCAGCGATCAGGGATGATGGGACTTGTAGCCCAACAGCAGCTGGGGACCCAAATTTGAGGAACATTGGCTTGGAGGAAAATCAGAAGGTGCCTTGTACCAAGTCAGTTGCAGCCATGATGAGATGAGAGCCAGTGTGGTGTAGTGGTTCAAGTGTTAGACAGGGGTAGACAAGGGTTCAGACCCCCCACTCGGCCATAATGCTCACTGGGTGGACTTCGGCCAGTCAATGCCTCAGCCCCATCTACTTCACAGGGTTGTTGCAAAGACAAAATTGGGGGAGTGTATGTCACCATACGTTTCCTGGAGGAAAGGTAGAATTAGTATATAATAAATTATAGTAATTAGGAAGTTGCCATGTATCAAATCATACCTGTGGTCCACCTCCTCTGTACTGCCTACCTTGACTAGCAGTGGCTCTACAGGGTTTCAGACTCAGGAGATGCCCACTTTTACTTGGAGATGCTGAGGATTGAACCAGGATCTTTGTGCATGCAAATTTCATGCTCCACTGCTGAGCTTCTCCAAGAAGCTGGCTTGGGTTTTGTGCTGGCTGTGAAGAAAGGAGACCCCCCTGCCTCACAAACAGCATGGAAATGCAGAGGGCTGTCAGAAGAGAGATGGCGTGCTCCGTTCCTCCGTCGCCAGCCTCCTTCGTAGAAGCCTTTCTTTTCTTTCGCTAGCCTAACAAGAGGCTAGAAGGCAAGAGGATGGGGCTTCCCCTCTTCCGTAACTTTTGTGGACCTTTTCACATGGCTACTCTAAATGCAGTGTAGCTTCTGCCTGTTAAATCATTCCCTGTGATTTTACCTGCTAACTGCCAGGAAGGAATTCAGTAGTTACAGCTTACCCCATTATGGAGCTGCTGTGACAGGAAAAACTTCGCCTACTATAATTTTTTTCCTGGCATGCAGCTGCTGAAAGCGCGGGAGCACTGCCAGAGCAAAAAGCTGACAACCCTACCCAGACTGACTTCCCACTTTTGCCGAGGAGCTTGCCTATTGAAAAGGCACACACCTTTTCTGGCTGAAATATACTGAGAGAACAGGAAGCTTGGGTTGCAGTCCCCAGGCTGTCAGGGCTCTCCGTCTGTCTATGGTAATTAATGTCTCTCTGCATCTGAAGCATACCTGCGGGCTGTTTCTTAGGAGGCTGACAGCTTCCCTTCTTTCTTCCCCTTGCAGATTAATGAGTTGTTTATAAGTTTTGAAGATGCTCCATTGGGGGCGGCATCCCTGGCCCAAGTCCACAAGGCTGTGCTGCACGATGGGAGGACCGTCGCAGTGAAAGTCCAGCACCCGAAGGTTCAAACACAGAGTTCAAAGGATATTCTGTTGATGGAGGTAAATGGCTACATTCATGTATCTGCCTCCATTACAAAATGGATGTGTGTCTGAAACGGTGAAATCTGCTATGATTAAATGGGCACAAGACGTTGGACATAATATTATGTTTGCTGACTGGGAACAGTTGTGGACCACAGGTATGAAATTTACGGCATGTAATGCCTTAAGAGAGAATATTATGAAAATGATATACAGGTGGTACATAACCCCAGTCAAGCTTGCAAAAATCTATCATGTGCCCGATAATAAATGTTGGAAATGTAAAGAAACTGAAGGTACATTTTTTCACCTTTGGTGGACGTGCCCAAAGATTAAGGCTTTCTGGGAGATGATATATAATGAACTAAAAAAAGGTATTTAAATATACCTTCTTGAAGAAACCAGAGGCCTTTCTCCTGGGCATAGTCGGCCAATCGGTGTTAAAAAAGGATAGAACTTTCTTTATGTATGCTACAACAGCAGCAAGAATACTTATTGCAAAGCATTGGAAGACACAAGATCTACCCACACTGGAGGAATGGCAGATGAAAATGATGGACTACATGGAATTGGCGGAAATGACTGGCAGAATCCGAGACCAGGGAAAAGAGTCGGTGGAAGAAGATTGGAAGAAATTTAAAGACTACTTACAGAAATATTGTAAAATTAATGAATGTTAGAATGATGTTGGATTGAAGTTAAGTGGTTTCTAGCTGTATAGGTACAAAAGAATATGGAAAAATTGGTTTTTAATATGTAAAAATCTAACGTTACAATATATCAGGACTAAGGATTAGGATTAAAAAGGAGGGAAAGGAATTGTTGGATTAACAAATTTAATTGGAATACAAAAGAGGGAGGTATGAGGAGGTCCGGGAAACAAGTAAACGTAAAAGAAGTGAGGAAAAGATGGAATTGTTTTTAATTTTTTTTTGTATTTTTTCTTTTTTCATGTAATATTGTGAAAATTGTTTTTAACTGTTTTTTCTTTTTTTTTCTACTTTGTATTTTTCCTTTTTATTGTTAATTTTTTTTATTAATGTGATTTTTTTTCTTTTCTTTTTTTCTTTTTTTCTTCTTTGAAACTTTAATAAATATTATTTTTTAAAAAAAACCAAAATGGATGTGTGTCACCTTTGGCACAGGCAGGCTCAAAAGCTGGGTTGGATCTTCAGAACTCTGCCAGCACCATGCTTCCTTTTGCTTCACTGAGGGTTGTCTTTAGTTTGTTACATGCATGAGAATCATGGAAGCACAGTCGGAAGGGACCACAAGGGTCATCTAGTCCAGCCCCCGGCAATGCAGGAATCTTTTGCCCAGCATGGGGCTTGAACCCATGGCCCTGAGATTAAGAGTCTCTGCGCTACTGACTAAGCTAAGCTAGGCTCCAGATTTTTTTCCAGATTCTGCGGAAAGAGAAATAACATGGGTAGAAGTTAGTGCTTGGCTAACATTTCTCAGAAAATAATTTTATTGATTGATTTCATTCACGTATAAATCATTTCCCACAAGACATCCCAAAGCGATTAACAGTAAAAACATCAACAAACACATCAACAATAAAAACAATTCCTAAGCCAATACAGATACAGGGTCCTGTTTGGTCCTGATGGTCCTGTTCTGCTAGCTGAAAAGATGCATGCTAGCAGAACAGAACTTTCCCCCAACTCCTCTGCCCTGTAGACCCTTATAATTGGCTCTAGAGGGTAGGGAAAACCTTTGGAGAAGATTAGAGGTGGAGGGAAGAGGAAACAGAAGTGGAGCAATGAATATAAATGTTTCCTTTGAACAGAAGGCTAGTTTCTACACACACTCAAGACATGTCTCCATGTCTTCCATCCAGTTAAGGAAGGGGCATTATCAGAGTTTTCACCCAGGTGAAAACACTCAGGGTGCGATGCAGGGCCAGTGAGGGCTATGGCCTGGATAAACTTTCAAGGGTCAAACACAGCAGCCTTGAAGGCCATATTTGGGCCCTGGGCCTAAGATTCCCCAACTGTGCATTAAAACACGATAGTAAATCCACATACCTGTTTTTCTATCCACCTTTGCTCCATCAATCATCATTTTTATTAGATGGGCTGCTTCCACATTAGAGCTTTTTGCACAGCTTAGGCACCACTTTTCCAGTCATCTGAAGCCACTTCTGTCATTGGACCTCACCGGAGAGGAGAATAGTGCTCAGGGAGGTAAACTGTGGCTTAAGCCCCCTTCACATGCACACGAACTTCTCCCATCATGACCTAGCTTGGCCTTCAGTGTTGGCTTCTTGTTGCTGCCTGGTACTGCAATGTGGTTTAGGATCCTTTCGGAAACTTACGATGCAACTACTTGGTTCCAGGTCCTTGTCTCGGCCGTGAAGCAGATCTTCCCAGACTTTGAATTCATGTGGTTAGTTGAAGAATCTAAAAAGAACTTGCCTCTTGAGCTGGACTTCCTGAACGAAGGGAGGAATGCTGAGAAGGTGGCCCACATGCTCAGAAAGTTTGATTTTCTAAAGGTAATGTGTGCACATGCAATCTGCATGCAATCTTATGAGCGTCCAAGTGAGCATAAGACTGGCATTCAGCAGGGGCAGTGTTGTTATTAAATTGCTATTGGGGGTGTGTGGGTGGGGTATCAAAAGTGAATGTAATTCTGCTGATGCTGCTGAATTAGATATTGTAGGGATATTATTGGCCCTCACCAGAATAGCAGGGAAGGGTATGTGTGTGTCTTACATTGGTCCTGCAGGCACTGCCTGGAGGAAGAAAGAGGTAGTAATTTTTAATGACTGGTTTTGGGCGCCTCAGCAAAAATGGCAAAGAACACAGCTGGGACACTATTCTCTGCACAGCTCAGTAATTTCTGTGCTGAACGATTATTTCAGCCTTGGTACAACAGCTCCACGTAAACTCGGTCCTCCAGGAAAACTGAGTTCTAGAGCACTGGGCGGCCTCTTGATGCACAGAACATTCTCTTGAATTGCCTGACTGTTGCCTGAATATTCAGGCTGAGAGCATTCTGGGGTGGCAGCCAGCAATTCAGAATCAGTGTCAGGACCTGATGTTATAAGCCTGGCAGTGTGGATACTAGGAAGGAGCATCATAACCATTTTGTTAGAACTCAGAATAAGTTTTAAAAAATAACAACAAAAACCTACAGCACTGCTTGGAAGACATCCCTATCCTTCTGCTGCTTTGCTGAGGCTACCGCTTGGCACTGTAATGAAATAATGTCTGATGCCACAGTTGGTCATGCGGCTAAGGGCATGCTTCACTGGAAGTTTCCTGAACCCTTGGTTTAGTACTATTTTAATTATTATAGTTCTAAACCAGAGGGGGAAGGAGGTCCTACGAGAAGCAAATATCCTTTTTGCTCTTTTCAGCAGAAAGCTAGTTGCATGGCTGGCATTGACAGTGGCCTGATCTCCTTTGGTGTGCATTGCCAGGATCAGCTGGGGGTGAGGGTGGGGATCCACCATTCTGAACAGTTCAAGATTTCTTTGCAGGATTGAAAGGTAGGGAATCAAACCTAATAATCATCTTAGGGGTTGTTGCTGCTCCTTAGGACAGATTTCAAGTCCCCGCCCCCCACACTCTGGATTTATTCTTGTCAACTACAGTGGTACCTCTGGTTATGAACTTAATTCGTTCCGGAGGTCCGTTCTTAAGCTGAAACTGTTCTTATCCTGAGGCGCACTTTCGCTAATGGGGCCTCCTGCTGAGAATGCGCCTCTGGCGCGCAATTTCCATTCGCATCCTGAGGCAAAGTTCACAACCAGGAGCAGCTACTTCCAGCTTAGCAGAGCTTGTAACCTGAAGCGTTTGTAACCAGAAGTGTTCATAACCAGAGGTACCACTGTTTGGCCATCAGAAGGCCCCTTTCATTATTTCCTCACAACAATGGAAAGGAACTGAAATAAAAGTAAGAGCAGGGGTTGCATTCCTTAAAAATTTCTCAGTAATGTATCTCTATGAGGTAGGCATTTGAATAGCAGTTGCTGGAAATCGCAAGTTGGGAGAGTGCTGTCCCACTCATGTCCTGCTTTTGGGCCTGCCATTTTGGCATCCTAGTTTTATTGTTGCAAACGGCTTAGAAGCCATTTTGGCATGTCAGGGGTATAGAGATTAAATCATCCCCATCGTCAGCCTTTGGTTGACTGCTGTGAGACTAAATGGGCCTTTGCTCTGACCCACTGGGACTCTTCTTATCTGTGTGCGCATATATATATATATATATATATATATATATATACACACTCACTCCCCTATAGCAATCTAGGCCAGTGCAATCACACATGGTTGCCATGTGCACACTAATATGAGTATACTGCTACCATAGGTATAATCCAATACATAGATTTGCATGTGTGAAGATAGAGGCTGAATTCCTCAGCTGCCATTGCTGAGAAATGGCCAACTTTGTAGAGTGCTCATATACTGATGCTGCCACATTGCTCCTGCACATAGACCTATAGTGGTCTGTGCACTTGCCAGGTTCATGCCTTCATAAACGATTGTAGGCCCCTGCACAGGAGCAATGTTGCAGCTCCTACGTCGCATGAGCCAGGCTGCTCCCTCTGTGCTGTGTGTGTGCCCCTTCTGCTTTTGTGTACATTCATTGACACATGTACACATACCTGGATATTGCAAACAGGCACACTTATGCAGGTATGTCTTTGCCTACATAAGCACTTGTGCAATTTGCTGCTGCCCTTTTGTTTCTCTCAAAAAGCATTAGGCAAAAGCCTTTGCTTATACATTCAGAGCCCCATGAATGTAAGAGGAGCCTGATGAATCAGGCCACTATGTCATCTAGTCCAACGTCCTGTTCTCATGGTGGCCAAACAGATGCCAGCTCTTTCAAAACTTGATTGCAACCCAGCGACACTCTGCAATGATTCTTCCATGTGTAATGCTAAGCAAACAGGCCTTAAAAGGGCACAAAAGGCCAAAGGCTGATGGCTTGTTCTAAGCGAATGTTTATCAAGAGTGTTGCGCCTTGGAGAGCAGCTCTGCTGCTGCTGTAACAAGTAAGAGAGTGTGGAGCAAATCCCCATGGAGACAGCCAATCACATCCTCTCTGGGTTAAAGAGCCACTGCAATATCGATTCAGGGAATAATAACAAATTGCTGCAAAAATGGCTAAATAATAGATTTCCCCTGTCCAACCCGTCGATTCCAAGACGTTTTCATCAACCCCAAAGGCAACAAGGGAGTTGTTTCCTGGTAATTCCCCCTACCCCCAGAGTTAAAAAAAACCAACAACAACACCCATAGCGCAGCAGGGAAGTGGATTTCTTACCATGAACCCAGTTGAGCTTGTAAAGCCAGAGATAAATTGTTTCCATGTGCAAGCATTAGGGCCAAATGTCTGTGCATCATTTAAGCTTGCCAAGGACTATGACTTTGTGCGAGTGAGACTTATGCACAGCTTAATAAGGCCCATTGACTGCTGCTGTAAATTTTGGAATGGGGATAAATGTTGACGCAGGGTTAAAATAAGCTACAGGCTTTGGGATCAGTGGGTTTAAGAGCCAGCGCATGGTAACAGCAGGGGCTGGGAAAGCTGGGAATCAGTGTGCTATCAATGGCAACTACCCACAATTGCTATGCTCTGCCTCCACAGCTGGAGGCAGCAATGCTGCTGAATGCCAGTTGCCGGAAACCACAGAGAGGCCAGTTCTTTTGTGCTCAAATCCTGCTTGCTTGTTAACCACGGGCATCTGGAAGGACAGGTGGGGCATTGGCCTGATCCAGCAGGCTCTTCTTCTGAACAGGGCTACAGCTTTAGGTACCTTCCTTTCATTTTGAATGCATGGCTTCAGCAAGTATTCTGCAATGTGCTATAGTCTGAGAGAAGGTGAAAAGTACTGTAGTTCTGTAGCCCTTGGGAAAGTGAGTTTGCAAACCCAGACTAAGGAGCAGTGGCACAGAAATGGAAATTTCTGTAATTTTGGAGCTATGTTTTTTTCCAGGGCAGAGGCTCCCCACTCTGCATGAAAAAGAAGTTGGAGTGGAGCATTGAAATATAGTTCTCTCAATCCCAAAGTACCTGATTATTTTAACAGGCAAGTGTATGTGTACAGTTGGAGTAACTAACCTTTGGCTCACCTGATGTTGTTAGAGTCTAGCTCCCACCATCCCCAGGCAGCATGGCTGATGGTGAGGGATGATCGGAGTTGTAGTTCTAAACTTCTGGAGAGCTATAGGTTAGCCAACCCTGGTGTATAGGATTCAACCTACAATCTTATACACATTTACCTGGGAGTAAGGAGCATTAAATTCACCAAGATTTTGTTCATTCATTCTTTCACTTCATAAATAAGTTCCAGGAAGCAGAGCAAAGCAGCTGAGACATCTCTCTCTCTCAGTGTTCTACTTCCTGTTCTTTACCCAACTGGT